ACCCCTGGGATCAGAAATCACAGCAGAGTGTAACCTCAAGTGGCACTGGCAGGGGCTGGGAAAGGGGGCAGAGACTTTTGCAGAGCTGTTCAGCAACAAGTTTCAAGTAAAGGGACTGATACAACTGAGCAAAACTGGAATTCTTTGGGTAGAAGGATTCACTGAACTGGCTGGGGGCAGGGGTGGTGTTGGGCAGGGGTGTATGTGTGTGTTAAAATGAACGAGCCAAAAGACCAAAGCAGATCCAAAGTAGGTCTGGAGCAAATGCCCCAGAACAAGCCTAATTAGTGCCAACCCCATTCTCAAACACACACCAATCCCCTACACAGAGTGTGAAGTGGGCAAGTGTTACAAACTCCATGGACTGGGATGTCCACCCCACGGAAGAAAGGGCTTCAGAGTAACTTTTCCCCTCCTGCCTGTTGCTGAGGCAGAGGCCAAGCTTGCTCCTCAGCAAGAAAGGCTACTTGAGAGCAGGCTCTCCTTCATGGGATGTGGTGCCAAGGGAGTGAGGTATTTCATTCTTTTTAGGATGATTTCCTGAGCTAAGAAACCAGGTGGAGAGAAACAGAAAAGATCTCTGCAGGACACGATTCTGACTTAGTGAAGAGGAGATTTACAGGCAGTGCTGCTGCTTAGACTTGTACAGAACCAGAAGGGAGGGAAATTCCCATCCTTTATGCCAAACAGGGCAGCAGGAAGAACTTCTGTTGCCAATCCTTTCATAGCAGAACAGCTTACTGGAGTTTACCCTCCATGGTCTGGCTACCTGCCTCCTCCTAACGTGCAGGTTCAGGGTGTTGTAACTTCAGCCTGCACTCATTCAGCTCATCTGAGATCTCTAGCTACACAAAGCTCCCATCCCAGCCTTTGTCCTCTATGAGCCCACACCCCCAGAGAAGCAAATTGCTCAAATTAGCTCAATAGTAACATCCATTTTTAAAAAATTATCACAAAAAAAAGTGGATTGCTCTCTACACATGCGCCCAAACTCCAATACAGGGTGAGATCCCACAGAGGAAACACAATCCAGTCAGGTCTGTGGCTCTGGTTCTTGACACAGTTCCCCATACACTTTGATTTTTCTTCCAGCTCCTTGCTCTTCTTCTTCCCAGGAGGAAAGAAGCACCAAAGGTTAACCAGACAGGCACAGAAATGGAGGTGCAGGAGCTGCCTACACACCAGCTTCATTTCTTTCACTGCTTTTGACATTAGGATCCTCTTGCACTTTTCTCATCTCCAGCCCTTTCACCCACGTGTAGGCAAAGGAACCCCCCAGCACCATCAAGTTACTTGTCCACCACAAGAAACTCTTTGTCTCCTCAAAGTAGACAACAGCCAGTACTGTTTGTGCACAGGCCTTGGCTGTCCCAGACACGTTGTGGGTGAGTGGGCTCGTGAACTTTATCTGAAGTCCGGTCACGTACCCAATAGCAAAACCAAACACTCCCCCCAGGGTCATCATGCCCCAAAAACTGGGGTTCCCCAGCTTGTCAAAATGGTAGAGGGTGTGGAACTCTCCCAGCAGCATCATGAGGGGGAAGAACAGGACACAAGCGTTGACGTTGTTGTAGAAGGTGAGGCGCCATATGCTCCCATCCACCACGGGCAGCACCTTCTTGGTGTAGATGGCATTGAGGGACACACACAGGCTTGCCAAGACCCCAAAGAATATACCTGTCCACGACAGAGTGCCCTCTGCTCCTTCCTGGTCAACGCCCAGCCAGAAGCCACCTGCAAACAAACACATCAGGCATCATCTGAACAACTCCTGGAGGACTCCGACAGTCAGCACTTCATCATCCACCTTCCACTGAACAACCACAATCACAAGCAGAGACAGGCTTAAGGGCTTCCCCTTTCTATGAAGTGAACCCACAAAAAGTCATGACTAGTGTCCCAGGAAGATTTATTTGGGGATTGTGGGTAATTTACAGTGCTATTATCCAATCTCAGAGGACTAGTCCCACACTGAGCAGGCAGCACGAGGTTAGAAACTGTGATTCCAAAGAGCCCTGAACTAAAGTCAAAGCTCCTCTTTGTGTACAGGTCATTTTCAGATCATATGATTTTATTTTTTTTTAATTGAAAAGGCAGCAAACTGACACACAGGTAAGAAGAAACAGTCCCCAACATCCAAAAAGAAAAAAAAAAAGCCTCACAGGCTTTGCTGTTAGCAGGAAGGGAAAGATAGGTTAGGAAAGGAGATGGAAAGACAGTAAACATGTGGATGTACTATTAAGTTGGATCAAAACAAGGTCACAAAGCAGAAACTGGGTACATTATCTTCAACACGTTCTGCTCTGATGGGTAATGAACTCTTTAACCACCCCCAAAACAGGAGCTACAGGCTTTGTGTCTCCAGGGCAGACAGGGAGACCTCTCCCTAGCTAGCTCAGGAGCAAAATGTAAAAGAGGAGATGAGCTACTGAAGGAGCATTGCACCTCCTCTCTATTAGCTGCTTCATGTTGGAGGTCAGCTGGAAAGTTGCCTGCACAGCAGCCAAGGCTTTAAACTAAGCCCAAATACAAATGGGTCCAATGCCCAGCCAGGGAGGGCTCTGTGTCAGGCCAGAGGATGCTCAGCTCTGCTGCTGTAGGCATATGGGCAACACTCTCACAGCAAAAGGAGATGGAGACAAGGTCTTAGAGAAACCCTGTCAGGCTGGCAGATGCCACAGCCCCAGGCAATACCCAAATACAAGACTAGCAGAAGGCAATTGCTTGCATCACATGGGTGCAAAACCAAACAGTAGTTCTGTTCCTGTTCACCTCTTCTGTGGAGAGGAGATTCTCTTCTCTCATTTTTCATCTCTCTGCTTGTCTAAGCACCAAAGTGAACACACGTCCACCTGGAACCAGACTCCAAGTCAACACTGAACCATTCTTGGCACCTAAGTGGCCCTCTAGTGGAAGGCAGCTTTTGGCATTACCGGTGCCTTTGGGATAAAAGGCTTTGAAGCAATTCCCGTTAAGCTAGTCAATGCCCTGCCCTGCACTCTAACCACACAACCAGATCTTCTGGTGGAGTTTTACGCTTGGCTTGTCAGCTAACCCTCCATCACATGCATCCTGCCTGTCTGAACTGGCTGGCTCTGTTGTACGGTCCCAACAGCCCTTACTGAAACAGGGTTATTGTCACCAAAGCTGGCAAACGCTTGAGGATGGGAAGAAAGCCACCTGCTGTTTTATGGCCTTTGTGGGGGACAAAAAAGAAAGGCAGGGCAAGTTAAACTTTCATTAGGGAGTAGATAGGTGCTGGCGCTCGAGGGAAAAAGGGAGTCACGGTCAAGTCCTGAGTAATTTCCTCTCTTAATGAGGCACCTCCACGTTTCAGACATGCAAAGCAGGTGGCCAGAGGCACAGCAAGGCAAGAACCCCGGGCTACCCCACCGCCCCAGAGAGCAGCCCCCTCCCGCTCCCCCTCACCTATGATGACTCCGCAGGCCAGCAGGGCATAGAGGGAGGTGGTCTGCTTGAGGAGCAGGTAGGAGAGCAGCACGTTGAAGACCGTGGTGAGGGAGCGCCCCACGTTGTAGAAGGCCAC